TAGAATTAGGTCACAATCTTGCAAGGAAATCCATGGAATTGATGTTTGTATATTTGATTGAAAATCAAATATTTTTGAATCTTTTTGATTGAAGAAAGTTGCCAAACTTGGAGGTTTTGATATCCTTGATTGATACACGAAATTGCCAGCATGATTAGGTCATTCTTGCTTCACAAAAAGATTGAAAAACCATATCTTTGAATTTCCTACAATTTAAATTAATTAAATGAATTAAAATCAATTAAAAATCCAATTAATTAATAAAAATAAGAAAATAAATTCAAATAGGCTTGATGGGTCGTGCATAGGCCTTGGATAAATTTTCAAGAAGAAATTTGAGGCCCATTAGCAAAAACAAAGTGTTTTGAGCAAAGTTGACTTTTGCAAATTCACAAAAATTTCCCAACTTCTCCAATGCATATCTTGCTCAATTTTGATCATATAAACATGTTCTTGGACATTTTGGAAAGGTCTTGAAGTCCTCTAACCAATGCCTTTGGTCCCATGTCATTTGGATTTACCAATCTCAAGTTATGGTCTTTGACTTAAAATGCCTTTTTGTTGACTTTTGAAATTGACCTATAATGTAGAAATTGATAACTTTTTGTGAGAGCATTTCTTGGACTTGGAATGTGAAGATGAATTGTAGGAAATGTCATCCCCTTCAAAATGAGCATTGGATGGGATTTTTATGATGAACCATGAAAAAGTTATGCCCTGGTCAAGATACAGTTGACTTTTCTGCTGTCCAAAAATAGTAACTTTTTGCATCTTGATGATTTTTGAGCCATGCTTGAGGAATCATGATCAAGACTTGATCAAATGATGATTGTGAGCTCAAAATAAGATGTTGATCAAAAATTCTGACTTTTGACTGCAAAATGACCATTTTACCCCTGCAGTTGACTATGAATCCAATAGGGCTTTTGACTGTAGAATTTGGCACTGTGAGTCTTGAGATTTGACATGTAGATGCTTGATAATGTATATAAGCCTATGGGACTTGATGGAACCATTGAAAACCTCAAATTCCTTGAAAGAAATAAAACCCTAATTTTGACTGGCTTAGGAGGCATTTGACTGTCTAATCCTTGAGCCAATCTTGAACCATTTGGAGATGACTCTTGATAAACCTTGAAGAATATGAGAGGGCAAATTTTAGGGTACAACACATATAATTGATTTTTTTTTATTGTTTGAATAACAATGATGGATTATTATATGACAACAAATAAAGATTAAATATTTATCAATAAAGTGAGAACTTCTAATGGCCACACACATAGATCTCTAATAACATGTTAAATAAGATTTACGAAATGTTAATTATATTAAATATGATTAAATACACTAAAACGTATAATTTATTTATTTAAATAAAATTTATTAAATAAATTAAAATTAATGATTATTTTAAATATTTTGAATTTAATTCAACATTAATACTATAGAGACCTATAACAAGTCATAGAATGTGTGGCTCATTCTTCATAAATTGAAAGAAGAGTACACTTTTCAAATTCTTAGGATTCAAACAATTTTTCATAAAATGACTAGCATCATGTTCTATTTTGTGTTCATGATGAATAGATGAGTATGCGGACAATTGATCAAGATCCAGCTGGATCAAGATCAAGTAGAATCATCATCAAGAGAAATGAGTATAATCAACATAAAAGGTGGAAAGATAAACTAATAAGAAGATGGTATGGTGTTTTAATTGTAATAAATTTAGTCATTTTCCTAATGATTATTACAATAATAAAGGATAAAGAAAATCAAACAATAAAGTGCATGTAGCACATGATAAAGATAAAAATTATTAGAATTTGGTATAACTGATGGTGACAATCATCATTAAGGAATTAAATAACTCTAAAATATACTTAGATTCATGATGTTTAAATCATATGGCTAGTTATAAAGTAGTATAATTGATCTCATATTCCAAAGGATTGACATAGGAGGAAGAGACACTAGAGAAATGAAGCTTGCTCCTAATCAAAAGGAGTCACATCAGGTTCGAACCAGCACAAGCAAGGGTGCTAACACCATCAAGACCTTTCACAAGAAATTTATCCCAAGAGTCTAGAATGCCACGAAGTTGAAACTCTATTACAATCAAGTCATTTCCTTGTTTTAAATTTACAATACTTATGAAAAATCTATTAGTATAATACTTTGCAGAACAATTTAATAAATACGATTTCCATCACGTATTTAACATTGTCACCCTCTATGAGATCAATCTTCAAAAGTAGAGGGAAAAACCCTCAAACCTCAAATGAGATTGTGGTGGACGTCTAGAGACACCACACGAGACGAAGACGTAACATTGCACTAGGTATATTCACATACTCCTTTTGGAAGTTAGCCGCTCTAAAACGTGAATTGTGGAGCCCTACTCGCCTCAACCTTAAACCAAATTCTTATACGAGGGTAAAGAATAGAAACAAACCCTTGATTGGGTGCAATCTCCAAAGATGTCAAATTAAGTTAAAGACCGACTTTTCAAAACGGTTATAATAAATAGCGGGGACAACCATCCCTAAAAGGTAATGATCAATGCATATGATAGAAGCATAATACTATGAAAATGATGAAACAAAATCATTCAAAAAATAATTAATAGAAGTCAGACCAATGACTAATATAATACAAGTTGATGACAAGTTAAACAAAGAATGCTAACACTGTTGCATAATGAAAGAGAAAGTAGTAGTGCCTATGAAGTTGGAGTTTCGGCGAGAGAGATCAACTTTTCCTTTATGACCTCCTACTCAACATGGATTTCATTTTCTCGGGGTCTTCACTTCAGGACAAAATATTTCTATTTGGTTCAGAGCATTATCAAAGGAGACTTACCTGACATTGTTGCCAACATAGACACATATGTTAATCTTGTAAGTATAAAATGTAATTTACGAGGGGTGAATTAGATTATACAAAATTTTATCGGTTTTTTGATTGTTAGAGACAATGGCTTAATTTTCAGAACGGATGTAAAAGATAAAATAATGAAAATTAATACAGAAAGTAAATGACACCAAGATGTATACCAGTCTCATTTCTAAATAATGATACATCTAGTCTTCTCACACCCCGTGAGAGATTTTACTATGTTAGAAACGTTACACTTAATCCAATCAAATCCTCTTAACTATCTAATATAAACACAAAGGCACACCACTTTTGATTTTATAACCTACAAGAAAAAATACACTACTTTCAATTGTATAGAATGAACACTTAAACCAAGTGAACAACAAAACAAAATTTTGAATAAAGATGAAGAGTAGAACTTTTATCAATTGCAAGAATTGATATTCCTTTTCAAGTAGACAATTCACAAAACATATTACACAAGTGCTCGTAATTTTGTTGATGAAACTTTTAATGATACAATGAAAGTGTATGTATAAAATTTCACAAAAACTTATGACTCAAGGTACTTAGTTAATAATGAGAGATTGATTTGAATTATAATGAAAGAGGTAACTTTTGAAAATTTGAATCTTTGGGTATTTATACATGTATATACCTTTTGGAATACGTATAATACCATGAATTAATGCCATGATTGATAGATGCAATTTAAAATTCGTTGGAAACAAATTTTATGTGAAAAAATATCACTGCTTCGGTGATAACGATTAATCAAACCTTGTAACTGATTACACCTTCGGAATTAGAGATCATTTTAGCTACGATTTTGTCAGGAGAGACCAAAAATTAAAATTTAATTTTTTAGGAGGACTATTCTTTGAAGGAAAAAATTAAAGGGACTAAAAATAAATTTTGAGATATTTAGAGGGACCAAAAACTTATTTAACCTTTGTTTTATTCCTTTGTCCAAATGATCGAACTAAACCTTTGAAACCTCAAAGCAAAACCTTCTTAGAGCAAATCTCGACAAACCTGTAGCAATCCTAGCCCCATATTCGGTGCCAAAGATTTGGGAAAAATTATTCTAGACCAATCAAACAGCCCAATAAGACAATCTCAATTCAAAAGTCTAGTCTAAAGATTCTCTTACTTAAGACTGTCGGACAACTAGACCCTCGTATGAATTTTAAATTCGTAGAGCATTTTATAAAAGAAAACATATTATAAATAGGGGTGGCAAACAGGCATGTCCGTCCCGTTTAGGTCAGTCTCACAAAAACTCGCAAAAAAAATAAGGCGGGCATAATTGAGGATAAGGGCCTAAAACCTAGTCCTGTCCCGCAAAAAAGTGAGTGTGAGACGGAGAAAGTCCAACGGACACTGCACCTTTTAAGTTTAAAAATACAAAATTTTATGTTAATGTTCGTGCCCGTAAAAGTCCACGAAGAAAACAGGACGGAGTGGAGCGGTCACGTTAGAAGATGAGGGTCTAAATTTTTTACCCTCCCCGCACTAAAGTGCGAGCAAAACAGACATATCCAACGAACCCGACTCGTTTTGTCACCCCTAATTATTAGTCTAAGATACCTAATATTCTATGATCGGGGTGGATAACGTGGTTCTTGATTCCCCGCGCTTGGTTAAAGAGTGGTAATCAATTAATCATAATACTCCTACCTAATATTCTAATGCTTCCTTATTTTATGCCACATTCCATATAACTTTATTGAATTTAGTTTTTAAAAGAACATCGCATGCTTTACTTCCAGATGGATTTCGTAATAAACAAAGTCTCAATAATATGTCATATACGGTAACACTTATATAACTTATTATGAAAACATATAATCCACAAAATTTAGCATCAATTTCGTTTAGCTACACTAGTTTTGGTCAAGCATAGAACAATGGTGTAGATATCAAGAATATGATGGTGTAGATCCAGAGAACAATGAAGTAGTAACTGATGATATCTACACCATTAAGCACAGAACATTTGATAATAGTATAACAGCAATTGCACACCAACTTCAAATAGATGCAAGGGCATATATTCAATAGAATGGAAAATACTAAAACAAAATACTGTCGAAAAATATATCATCCAAAACTTGTTACTGAGAATTGAATCGGAATGACTCTCCAGGAACATAATTAGTCCTCATACTATAATGGTCAAACTTCGAATTGCTACGATCAACAGCCCCCCTTGTTTCAACAGGTTTAGACACAGCTCCATTTGTCGCAGAACCAACTTCTCCACTCTTTTCGCGGTGTCGATGCCTTGTCCTTTCTTTTTGGCTTTTAGATTTCACATGTGACGGAAACTCACTAGATCCGTAGAACTCAGCATACTCGGGTCGTTTTGAAGATAGGTGCTTACTTGACAATGAAGGATCCTTGAAACTGCTTGATTTTATCTTTGGAGGCTTTACTTCTGAATATTTCTCAGCAGTGCTTGGAGTATGGACCTGTGGCATCTGCCGATTTTCGGTATGAGTAACATGTGTGGCTTTTCTATTGACTAATGGAGGCTTGACTTCGTCTTCAGGCATCACAAGACGATCCTTAAGCGGTGTTAGTCCTCTATTCACGCTGTTAGATTTGAAATGCGAGGGTATGAATTGAGTGAATGTACTAGCCATTGCTTCAAAGGATAGCTTAGAAAGATCAGCAATAAGTTGTCCAAAAGATGGCCATCCGGGATCTTCTTTACCACTGTCCGGGATTGGCATGTGTTTCTCGTTGCTTGGTTGCCCTTTAAACTCTCCTCTCGAGTGTCTCTGCGGAAATTATGCAGTGTAATTAGCCGATCAGAAAGGTCAAAATATGATTAACATTGGATAAGATAACAATGAAAAATGATGAATTTTATCAGGTTGCAGCATGCAAATCGTGTAATTCCGAAAAAATTTATATAGTTACGAATTCCGTTGAGGCAAAACATACTGTTTTTGAGAAGAAAGAGGATCCAAACCCCTGCTGAAGCATGCATGTAGCATATCCAACCAAAACAGCACCAACAACTGTAAGGATATCTGCAGAAAACCCCACAAAATGTACTAATCAGATAATTGGCATTTCAGAGAAAGATATAGTCATATACATTGTTCTCAAATTTATATATTTCCCATTGTTTCACTTCTCCTCTAGGTACATTAATTCTAAATTACTGGTGAAAATTGGAGAACAATTCAAAGTAGCACAATTTAAGTATCATACAAAACTAAAGGGGAGTTTCAAGACCTAACAGTGTCTTTGGAAGTAAGGGAGGGAATTTCCAAGGCTGGTTGATGAATAACTGCAAGAAAATTCAAGTGACTAAGTTTTGGATTTGATGAGAAATATAATCACACAATCATTGTGATAGGTACTTAGGTATGTAAGTGCCTTGGTTCTTCTCCCTTGATAGCTAGCTTTCGAGGGTGGGTTCTCCAAGTGCTTCGATGTTTTATCAATTGATGTGAGTTTCAGACCTCGTTATCGGTGGCTTGGAAAGGGCTACATACGGAAGGGATTATCGGAAAGACCAAGTAAAGCTTCGTAAGGTGTAGCGCCGGGATGTCAGCTCTTAGGGATGGTTCTATGATTTCAATAAAGGTTTCATCCTTTTCAATTCCAGTCCAGTTCTATAACAGCCCTTCCCAAAATATAACATGACAGAGATGCAAGAAAACAGTCATAGCAACAACATCGATTTTTGTAGTAGTAGTAGTAGTCTACAAACAATGCGATAGAATTAACGTATAGTATTTTCCTGTTTTCTTTCTTCATATATGATTGAAAGCGTTTACTCTTAGTTTCCTTCCATTTTGTTAGTATGCATATATGAAATTCAAATTTTGAACCAGAACTTTAACATCATAATCACATTTTGCAAAGGGTAGAAATTTTTATCGTTCAGTGGAGCATAAATCATTCAAAATACTCTTATCATCACACGCTTGGCAAGAAAAGAAAAAGCGCCATATTGATATTTAGTATCATCTAAAATCAGCAACGAAATCGTTATTATTCTTGCACAATAATAAAGCATAACAAATACGAGATAAGAATTTAAACCTGTGCTGGAAATTGAACTAGATTGGTAATCACAGTCGTCCTGGTCAAGAATAATTTGTCGAAGAGCAGCATTCCCTCTATCAATGACCAACAAGGAACAGGTTGGCCGAACATATACCACATCGAAATCATTTGAGAACTTAGCATCCTCACTAGGCCCGTCCCTGTAGCCAGCAACGTTGGACTTTCCTCCAGCAATGGTTGTGACGCCTAAAAAATATTTAGAAAGATCAGTAACAATACATGTTCACCATTCTCATCTCATTGATCATTCTTCCAAAGATTTATATTTCATCGATCAATAACTCTAGTGGCAGAAATCATATATTCAACAATGTTTGATTACAATAATAAAACATTTTTAATGTCAGAAATCACATGATATCAAACATTAACGTGATTAATATTTGGAGAAATCATGTAGTCATTGTAAAATCACGTTTAGACTCGAAAGCTACAAATCGTAACTTCAAATAGAATCAATTCTGCAAAGCAGAATCAATTCTGCAAAGCAGAATCAATTCCACTCGAGAGCAACCAAACATATCAAAATCAATTCTACACGTCCAGAATCAATTTTGGGTGCTCCAAACATGATACCAAACATACACTAATACACCTTACAAGTCCTGACAAGATCGTGAAATCTCGTAGCTAAATTAACACATACCAGCATCTCCGATCTTTCTAATAGCAAGATTCTGAGTATCAGCAACATAAACATTCCCTTTATCATCCATAGTAATTCCTTTGGGATGATTAAACCGAGCATCACTAGGTTTTCCATCAACGTGATCAGTGTAGCCCTGAAACGACCCAGCTACCAATCTTCCCCTACTATCTGCAACACCATAAAGAGATGATAACAGACAAAATTAGAAACTAACTAACTAACCTCTAAGCCAAATGAATGAAAATCAAACCATTCCAACTTTTAACTAATCCAAAATTCTACTTAATTTTCCATAACCGCTATTATAAGAAACACAATAGTTATGTAATAAACTCAAGAGAAGCCATACATTGAGACAGTGGCGGGGTAATTCGAACAATGTTGCTATTAATTTCATCAACAGCAAAAAGTTCACCGTCTTCTTCAGAGACGCGGATCCGATGAGGGATAACTCCAATCTCATTTCCTTCCACAACAGTCTCAACTACATAACCATTCTCAAATTGAAGAACATTCCCATCTGAAAAAAATAAAGAAACAGAAAATCACATTCACACAATTTCACACAAATCATAAGAATACTAAGCTATCAGCCCAGAATGAACAGTCACCTGATTGTGGCATCTTGGAGGCAGACCTTGTCCATCTGATAAGTGAAGACAAATGCTTAATCAATGGACCTGATTCATTAACATTGTTCAACTAAATTAACAAAAGAAAAAAAAACAAATAATTGAAACATACCCACTTTGGAATTCAGCTACAGATTGCAAAAAGGTTGAAAATTTAGCATACCCATTTGGTTAAATAGGAAAAGGGAGGCAAAATTGAAGCTATTGAAGAAATGGGTTTTTTACCTGCGGGAGCAGCGTGAGCTTGAAAATGGAGAGAGAAAGTGGAAGCAAGTAGAATGAGAGCATAGAAGAGTAGAGAGTGAGTTGTCATAGTTGCTTTGAGATTATGATGAAGAAACTATGGCAAGTGAACTCTTCTTCTTCTTCTTCAATTGCCACAAACACAGCTTCAAAACACTCTTTGCAATTGCATCTCTCTCTCTCTCTCTAAAAAGTGCTTTTTTTGTGAGTAACTTTTTTAGCTTTGTTTTAGCATTTACGCGGAAAGTGAGTTTTTCGAGGAAGCGCTTTTACTCCTCTATGTTTTTTTTTGAGTCGGTCATTGCATTTTCTTGTTGTAAAGTAGAGTAACAAAATGTATTTCTTAAAGTGTTTAATCAAAAAATAATGTAGTGTTTGTATAGTAGATGTAAAAATTTGGATTGGGCTGTGCTCTCCATAGTTACCTTGTTGCTATTTTCATCTTCAAAATTTTCTCTTACTTTAAATAATCTTCTTTTATGGAGTAACAGAATGTATATTAAGCACTTCTTATTTTTTACTATTTAAATATTTATATAAATTTAAAATTAATTGATATATTATTATTGTGCAATAAAATCAACTATTTATCTAAGATTAGTTTTTGTTAAAGGTTACTTTGAAATATATGAATGTTTAAGTAATTAAGATCGCGAGGCAAAAGAACTCTTATTGATGTGGTGTTCATTTCTCTATTTGTCTCTGGCTCCAAGAAACGTTTCAAGAATCTCTCAATTTCATGCGTTTTTCTCTTTCTCTCTTCGTCTCTAGATGATAACTCTTATCCATAGTATGTGAGTCTTCTTCTAGTACGTGTTTCAGTTTGATATCTTTCTTTCTCGGTTTTTCTTTCCTTCGTGCTTTCTTTTCGTGCTTTTCCTCTTTAGCTTCCCCGTTCTATTTCTTTTCTTTAGTTTTTTTCTCTATTCTCTTTGCTCGCCCCTTCTTCTTATCCTCCATTCAGCGGAGACACCTTCTATTCACCCTTTTTCTTGCTTTTCCTTTGTCAACCATGGAAATCGCAGAAACATCACAAAAGAAAAATCAAAACCAATCATCACTACTAAACTCATCCATATAGGCTCTATGCAAGCGGCCTTTTTTAACATACGGTGCAACAGAAGGGTTAATGGTGAAAGAAATTGACAAAGACATCTTCCAGATTTCAATAGAAAGAACATAATTTCATAGCAGAATCTTGAAAGGGAATCCTTGGCTATTCAAAAACTCCTGGATCATACTCAAAGAATGGGACAGGAAAGTTGCCCTAAGATCTATGGATTTCACCAAAGCCCCAACCTGGGTTCAAATTTAGGGACCGCCAATTAACAACAAAACAACACATATGGGACTAAAGATTGGGTCTAAATCAGGAGAAACTATAGAAACAAGGGTGTTTGAAATGCAGGACAAAACTATCATAGTTAAAGTTAAAATAAATTTGAAGGTTAACAAAGAAATCATCCCAGGCATATATATTAGAAACAAGAATAATGGAGTAGTTTGAATTGACTTCAAATACGAAAAACTCCCCATGATCTGTTTTTACTACGGTCTCATGGGCCATAATGAAGAACACTTCCCAGGAGACTCCCTCCCTAAGCACGAGATCACAGACATTAATCCACTAGGGTCATGGTTGAGGGATACTCAAGGGGGTGGGAAACTTATCACCCAACAGGAAAGAAGATTTAGCAGCAACCCAACATTCAAGCTCAGTGTTAGCTAATACGGTCTTATTTCTAAGGCTATGATAAACAAAATGGCTCAGATGCAGGTGACAGAAAACAGCAACAAAGGCACTATATAATCTCTAGTTAACCCTATACAACACAAGAAGAGGCGTATTACTAAGATAGAAGAAGGAGCAGTTAACCAAACAAACTAGTCAAAACCAGAAACATACAGCCTAATGATCAAGGCAACCACTTGGAATGAAGATCATTGCATGGAATTTCAGGGGGGGTTGGAATAACCTCGAACCCTCAAAGCTCTCAAGAATATGATAATCTCTATCAACCCTTATATTTTTTTATCTGAAACTAAGAAAAATCAGGATGTTGATGTTTTTAATATAATTTATAATATTGGTTGCTTAACCAATAGTCATATGATCGGTTGTAATAGGAATGGTAAAGGGAGAGATATGGGCTTAGCTTTATATTGGAACAATGATGTAAAACTCAACATTATTGACTTTAATAATATCATATTGACTTTTATATTGGTTCTGATTTAGATTCTAATGCTAATCAGAGAGGGACTTCCATATATGTTTTTTTAAATAAAAAAAACTCTCACTTGCAGGATGATAAATAATTTGGTTCAAAGACAAATCGGTGACAATTGGTTGATTTTGGGGGATTTTTACTTAATTAGGAATGAGAATGAGAAAGTGGGGGAGAATCATATCAATAATCATCTGACTGATCTAGTTAATGATATTTTTTCTTCTTGTCAACTTAATGAGTTAGGTTTTACAGGTAGCATGGAAACATGAATCAAGAACCAACAAGGAGAGGACTTTATCATGGCCATATTGGATAGATTTATCACCAACCGGAATTGGATCAACCTCTTCCCTCATCATATTAATATGCACCTCCCTAGAACTACTTCTGACCATAATCCTATCATGCTTGCTTTTCACACTAATCAGGAGAAGAACGATTTCAAATCCCAAAAAACTAGACCTAAGCGCTTTGGAAATATATGGATGGAACCTCAGGATATTGACAGAATTATTAGTGATAGCTGGAATAATCAAAACTACAGAGACCTATGATAAATTTAACTACATTTTGGACTACCTATGGAGTTGTGGTAAGAAGGAGTTTGGAAATCCTACCAAAGCCATTACCAATGTTAAAGAGACTATTTAATGTCTTCAAAGTGATAACATCCAGAATATACACTATGATGAGATTAAGGTTCAATAAGAGAGGCTAGATAACCTCCTGTACTATGAGGAAATTTGGTGGGCTCAAAAGGAAAAGATGCACTGGCTTAAGGAAGGTGATAGAAACACTAGGTTCTTTCACATTAAGGCCTCTCAAAGAAAAGTAAAAAACAAAATTAAGTTCATAACTAAGAACAATGGTGATATCACTTACAAGGAGGAAGAGATTCAAAGCACCCTAGTAGACTATTACATTGACCTTTTCAAACCCAATAACAACAGAACCCCTTTGAACCTAGACCCCGGGAAAAGATGTAGTAAGGAGATGAAAAACCAACTCCAAAATCCTTTCACAGTAGAAGAGATTTTCATTACTATAAAAAATCTCAAAAGTGGTGCAGCCCCTGGGCCTGGTGGCATACCAACTTAATTATACAAATCCTACTGGAATATTGTTCGAAACGATATTACTACTACAGTCTTGAACATCCTTAACAATAACTTTAGCTCATAAACATACAATAAAACTTACATCAAACTCATCTCCAAAATTAATAACCCCACTAAACCTATGGAGTACAGACCCATTGCTATTTGCGTGTTCTGTTGAAAATTATTATTAAAGTTCTGGCTAACAGACTGAAAACCATCCTGCCAGACCTCATCAACAATAACCAAAAAGCTTTTATTCACCCAATAATGATCAGTGATAATACTATGGTGACACATAAAGCTTTTCATAAATTAAGCAGGCACACAAATAGGAATAATGGGTTTGTAGGTATAAAAATTGATATTGAGAAGGCTTACGATATAGTGGAATGGGATTTCGTTATAGAAACCCTTACTAAACTAGGCTTTCCTACTAACATCACTACCAACATCATGAGTTGTGTCACCAGTGTTAAGTTTGATATCGTGATCAATGGTTATCCTATAGGGGATATCATATTGATGACACTCTATCATTACATATATTATGTTGAAGAAATAGAGTAAAATGAGGCAAAGAACATTTAATTTGATGAAGAATAGCCCAAGAACGGTGCAAAACGGATAAAGTATAAAGAAGTAGAGACTTGAGGAAAATTTGATTGAAAAATGATCAAATGTATGTCAGCCACTGGAATAATCACGCAGGCATCGCACCCCATCATGTGCGCGATGGGCTTGGATCAGTTGCATCACGCGCACGATGCAGGCTATCGTGCGCGCAGTGGGCTATTTTTTTGGGAATTTTTTATGCGTTTTGGCACTTTTTGACAACTTTAAAAAGGGGTTTTTGGCACTTTTCAAGGGTTTTACATTTTTACATTACAAGTACGATTTTATAACACACGAAGACATATTTGGAGTGCATTTAGAGCCATTAGAGTTCTGTTCTTCAAGGGATCTTTTATGCAAACCTCATATAATTTATTGATATTGTAATTTTAATTATGAGTAGCTAAATTCTCATAGGTTAGGTTTTATTTTGATGAACCTTTCAATACTGTTGGAACACATGTTTGATTTGATATTGCATATTTATTGAAGTTATTATTTTATTTAATTGCACCTTGTTCTTAATGCTTTTTATGTGGGATACTCTTTTAATATGATTTTGGGTACATAGGGAATACTGACCTTTAGTCTATGCGTTGGACCTAGGGAAATTGTTATGCTTGCGTCGGTTGAATAGGAATAGGAGACCTCAAGTAGTTGCTTAGGAATGAACGCTTTATTTCATTGCCTAATCTTGCTTACGTTGGTGGACTAGGGATAGGAAGCTCCAAGTATAGATTAGTGAGTTATACACCAAGGAATTAGGTATAATGGTCTTGTTAATCTGTCGTGGAATAATAACAACAATATTAATTATGCAACGCATCGAACATCAACAATAGATAATTAGGGGATTCTATAACAAAAAAACCGTCTAATATTTTTGCCTTAAAACTCGAAGAAAAAAACCATTTTATATTTAATTCACTTTGCACAATATTTGTCTTGTTAAATAGCAGTCTCTGTGGATCGATATTTTTATTAGTGCCACATTATCAGTATACTTGCCGAAAAGTCATCAAGTTTTTGGCACATTTGTCGGGGACTGTTGATAATTTAACAAGGTAGCGATTGTGCAACGTTTGATTTAGTTTTTTATTTATTTTTATTTTTGTTAAAAAAAAATTTAATTAGTTATTTTTGTTTCTTCTTAAATTTCCTTTCCTATTCTTTCTCTTGTTAGTTTTATTTTTGCTTAATTTTTTTATCTAGTGCAGTGCTACTGAGGTAATTTTCTTTGTATTTATATGTAAGGTCAAGACAATCATGCAAGATGAAATATCTGCTAGTGCTAGCTTACAAATTTTGAAGCTTATACAAAAGAACTTGTGGTAAAAAATCTCGTTCTCCAAAATGTGAGAAATCATTTTGAACCAAAATCGTACGTCAACACTGAGCATTCGTGGGAGGAGAATTTGTCATCTCAACTTGAAGAAACTTTGACCCAGTTCATAAAGCTTACTCAAATCAATTTCCAGAAAATCAACAGGCAGCAAGAAACCTTGCAAAGGGACATGGAAGCATCCTTCAAGAACTTAGATATGTAACTCGATCAAATATCTAGCCAAGTAGCATTAAAACTGAGCTCTAGTGTGGAGTTCAATGGGAAAATTTTAGATAGTCCTAGAGATAAGGAAATTGAAAGAGAATTCAAACAGGAATGTGAGGTAGTCGGTGAAAGAGGAGTTAAAAAAGAGAAAGAAGAAGAAAAGTGCACAACACCTGATAAAGAAATTGTAACAAAAATAAAAGAAGCAGAGGTGAAACATGTATTTGGGAAAAGAGCGAGAATGCAAGATGAAGATTGTGTAGTTTTGGATGAAGCTCCAAATTCAATAATTTATCTAGACGTAGATATCCAAACAACAAGATATTCAAGAAAAGAATATCCCTAATTCTAACAACAAGGCTGATAAAAGAGGAAAAATAGATAAAGTATTGGATGAGATTTATATCTTGTTCGATACTATCAAACTGAAGAGAATATGGAAGAAAAACCTTTAATTCGTAAAAATGGTTGAATTCTTACCAAATAAAAGTAATAAGAAGGATGATGTGTTTTTTGTGTCATATATGTCGCCCTAACAAAATTTTGAAAGGTCAAGCTTAAAACATTAAAAAAGCGCTTAATGGGAGGCAACCCATCTGATAAGTTTTTTATTTAATTTGAAATTTTAAAATTTTCATGTTATTTAAGTTAATAGTTTTTGTTTTGTAGCATTTCACATTTAGGAGTAGTGAGACAAAGACTGGAGAAAAGGATTGAAAGAAGAAAGAGAGACTAAAAACTCTCTCTAATCCTTTTTTCTAATCTCTTTGCACTTTCTAGTGTTGTTGTTGTTTCAGGTAATAGGTCCAAAGTGAAGTCACTTAACTCGAGCATCATCATCAATTAGAAAATGTGAGAGTGGACCAAACAGAACCAAGAATTCAACAATACCATGCAAGACATGCAAGACTTTTTTTTTGCTCCAATGGCATGCTAATTTGGAGTTTTCTGAATTCGTAGTAATTTATGTGATTCCCTTTTACGTCCAACAAGTTAATATCTCAAGTCAATCTAGAGTATTAGCTACAATAGTTGGTCCCCATTTGTACCAATAAATTTATGTTTGTCTTTAATAAACAAGTTTGTTGCTGTTGTTTATTTCAGATTTATAAAATTGCAATTTTAGCAGTGAACAGATGAACCATAAGTATCATAAAAAACAAAGGTGATCATCAAAAAAGTTCCTTGTGGATTGAGAGTTTAGGAAGAAATAAACCATCAACTAACTTGTACTTAATCTCCAGATACCTCAACTAGTAAGGTTTGAGCCAAATATTCTATTGCTTACTTTTTCTTTTTATGAGATTATCCATACAATTGCTATTTTCTAGAATTTTCCCTATTTCTAATTTAATCTATTGGTTTGATAAATATACATTGAGGCACTTGCCTATGATAAACTCTGAGCCTTTTAAAACTAACTCATATATCATGTTTATATCCCTTTCTAACCACTTTGAGCCTAAGACCTTTCTTTCGGTGACATAGTCACAATAATTAGCCAATTAACGTGAAAGATTAAATCTTTCCACCCTCTCTTTGGAGTTAGGTAGACAATTTAGTTCCTTAGTCGTATGTAAACGAACAAGTTTGGGGTTGCTCTTAGAAGTGAGCAAATATTAAATTAATTGTACACCGTCACTGACAAAGACCTTCATGAGATTAATTTATCCACTCTGGTGGTGAAGTTAGAAGGTCTTTATGAATCCATTATGGACTTCGACAATTTGAAACTAAATGGGTTTGATATCTACGTCGACGTTGTTGCTTAAGGATGGGAAGTTTTCTTCAACCATTTGAAAGGACCAGTATATCATGCACTTGTGAAGGATTTATGGATACATGCAAGGGCTTCAGAGTATCATATCAATTCTATAGTTATTGGTAAGAAAATTCAAATCTCAGAAAAATCCATTTCAAAACTTCTAAGTTTTGATGGATATGGAAAAAGATGATATGGCATGACTATCAAAAGTATAAATAGCAAGGAAGTGGTTGAAACCATCTTTAGAGGAGATGTAAAAAAATCATTTGCAATAAAGCATTTGATTCCAAAGCAAAAAATATGGGTAAAGATTCTTCTAAGATGCATTCATCACATGAAAGCTAGAAATTCTCCATACTACATCAATTTGGATCAGAAGTACATGATATACTATTTGGAAAAAGGAATGAAGATGTATATCCCTTTCATTTTATTAAAATACTTTAGGGAAATTATAAAGGAGACTACAAATAAAGGACCCAAACCCAGAAAATTGATTCCACTTGGCAGAATAATTCTTGCATTCTGGTGGAAAGTCAGTTGGTAAAAGAACTTATGGATCTAAATATGTTTGTTGAACTATATATTAATGTTGGCAATCCCCTCAATGGGAAAACTCTTAAGCATGTTGTTAATTCTCTATTTTATGATTAGCATTAATTTTGGTAAAACTAATTTAGCAGTTGTAGCGGTAGAAATGTGCAAGACTAAGCCATTGGATTGACTAGACTTTATACAAATCAAAATAAAAATCGCCACTGCGCTTTATTGTTTCCAAAGGAATGGGAAAAGAGCGAATAACCCAAAAAGAGGGGGAAAGATTCAAGGTAAGGGGGTTGGTTATGCAAAGGGAAGGTATTAGCATCCTAAACATCCACGATACTCCGCAGGAACCTCTTTGTAAAATCTGTATATTTTGGCTATAAAAATGTGTTGTATATAAAATGGATGGTGAAGGTGAGAAAAGAAATATTTTTATGATTTTTGCACCCGCCGCGGTTGTGAACCTTTAGTGCCCACGTACCACCTTTTGTGCAATAGGAGATCAGGGTACACGTAGTTCATCTAGAAA